AAGAATTAAAATCAAATGGTTGTCAGAGCAAATATTTACACCCCTAACTGGAAAAATGACTGAAACTCACCTGTGTAACAGAAGAGCCCTGTACATTCTGCTGCTGTTGTTGTGGGACGGTTCCACTCTGTGCTGTACTCGTCACATTTTGGCCCTGTATAGTTACGACCCCAGTCTGTGCTCCAACCCCTAAAATGTTAGTTTGTGCTCCTCCAACTTGCGGCAACTGTACGCTAAGTCCACCACCCGACTGCTGCAGTATCATCTAAAAGACACCATTTCAATCACATGCTTTAGTTTCCATGACAACAAAGCTGCCAATACCAATACTCACACAGTTGCATGTGTGTACCTGAGTGCCTTGTCCCTGCACCCTCTGGAGCTGCTCATGAATCTGCCTCAGTTCCTCCTGCTGTTTCTGAATGTTAGCTTCGATCATGCGCGTCCTCTGCTCCAACTGGTCCTTCAGGTGCTGCATTGCGTTCAACTGCGCAGAGAACTACATTCAGAAAGCATAGAAAAAGAAACATTATGGTGTCATGGGAAAAAAAATCTAAATTAAATAACTTAAATGGTGGCTTACCTGATCTACTGGACAAAACACTAAAAACAAAACAAAATGATTCTCACCAGGGCGTTAGGTTGAACCTGCTGCTGTGGCTGAGGATGTTGTTGTTGTTGGCTGGTTTGGACCAGAGATCCAGTCTGATTTGTGTTCTGAGAACTCACGGACTATCAAAACAAATAAGACCGCCGTCATTACCCAGCTGCTAAGATAGGAATGTTTTGTAACTAAAGCCAAGTGTTGACGTTGATGAAGACGCAAGTCTCACCTGGGTGCTGACAGAGGAACGACGTTGGGATGTCATATCAACAGTGGCGGGCCGGGGTGGAGTGCTCACATCCATCTGTAGTTTAGAGGGAGTTGCTGAGGAAATCAAAGAGATATAAAGAGTTTTAAACAGGCACAAAAATCAAGAAAACACAATAGAAAAGCACACGTTTGGTTCTGTTTTTCATGCTTACAGGTGCAGGTGTTGTCAGAGACGGCGGTGTGCGAGGACTTGCGGGAGCTCCTTGAAGAGGTGGAGGGTGAGCGACTGTTACTGAAACGCTCCAGAACCTCCTTCAGTCTGGAGGAGTTTAACTGCGCTTCAGAGCCAGAAATCTGACACTGCTGCAGAGAGAGAGGAAAATTAAGAAACATCCGTGGTGTAGCTGTTGATCAATGTTTTCTGTTTTGCAATGAATGATCTATAGAGCAATTGTGATACATTATTTAAATAATAATTTTATTGTTATATACACACACACGCCTATAAAATAATAAAATGATTATATAATTAATACATCACATCTGCTCTCTCTTGATAGACAGACAGATAGATAGATAGATAGATAGATAGGACAAATACAACTATTAAAAAAGGAGTTAGTAAGATTGTTTCAATGTTTTTGGAAGTCTCTTATGCTTACCCAGGCTGCATTTGTTTGATCAAAAATACAGTAATATTGTGAAATATTATAATTTAAAATTAGCATTTTCTATTTTAATATATTTTAAAATGTAATTTATTCCTGT